GCAGACCTCGACGAACAAGACACGTGCCTGCAAGGTTGCAAGAATGTGTGATTACATCAGATGATATGGTCGATGAAGAAGGGACACATATGTCAAACCAGTCAATGCAACTGAGGCATTGAAAGATTCTAAGTGAGTGAAAGCAATGAAAGATGAGTTAGACTCCATCGAAGTCAATAACACCTGGTCACTTGTCGATTTGCCTCAAGGAAAAAAGGCAATTGATGTGAAATAGGTTTACAAGGTGAAGGTGAATCCTAAAGGAGAAGTAACGACACAAGGCGAGACTTGTGGCGAAAGGATTTCTTTATAAGGAAGGAATCGACTTCAACAAAGTTTTTACACCTGTTGCTAGGATCAAAACAATCAGATTGGTTATTGGTCTAGTAAATTTGAACAATTGGCACACATATTAGATGGACATGAAGTGTGAATTCTTGAATGGTCCCTTAAACGAAGAGGTTTATGTTGCACAACCAACTGAGTTTGTGAAATGAGGTAAAGAAAAAAAGGTGTACATGCTGCATAAAGCCCTGTATGGACTTAAGCAAGCTCCAAGAGCTTGGAATAAGAAAATTGACAGCTTCTTAAGAGAGAAGGAATTTGTGAAGTGTACGACTGAACATGGAGTGTACACAAGAAGAAGCAGTAGTGAACTGCTTATACTATGCCTCTATGTTGATGACATGTTGATAACAGGAAGCTGCAAGAAGGAGATCGAAGACTTCAAACATAACTTGAGTGAGGAGTTTGAAATGTCAGACTTGGGAAATCTCTCATATTTCCTTGACATCAAATTATACAAGAGTAGTAGAGGTTTGATGATGCACCAAAGAAGATATGCAGGTGAAATACTCAAGAGATTTGAGATGCAAGATTGCAACCCAACTTCGACTCCAACTGAGACCAGATTGCAACTGTCAAAGAATTCAGATGAAGACGATGTCGACCCAACCCAATATAGAAGACTTATTGGGTAACTTCGATACCTTTGTCACACAAGGCCTGACTTAACATACAGTGTAGGTATGATAAGCAGATTCATGCAAAAGCCAAAGGTATCACACCTAGCAGCGACAAAGAGGATGTTGAGGCATCTGAAAGGGACTCTCGATTATGAAATTTTGTTTTCTGTAGCTGATGAAGGAAAAAATGCAAGTTAGTAGGATACACCGACTATAATTGGTGTAGTAATGTTGAGGATAGAAAATCCACAGCTGGGTATGTGTTAATGTTAGGTGGTGCACCAGTTGCTTGATGTTCGAGAAAGGAACCAGTAGTGACATTATCATCACGTGAAGCATAATATATAGCTGCTTCTCTTTGTGCATGTCAAGCAACCTGGATGGTGAACCTGGTCGAAGAGATCACAGTGAAGAGTCATGGAGCAATTACCATGAATATCAACAACATGTCAGCTATCAACTTGGCGAAGAATCCAATAGCACACAGTCGAAGAAAGTACATCAAAATAAGGTTCCATTATCTTTGAGAGCAGGTAGAAGAAGGGAAGATGAATTTAGAACACTACAAAACTGAGAGTCAGATTGCATACATTATGACAAAGGGAGTGTCAGTCAAAGTGTTTAGAAGGCTAAGGTCTATGATGAATATAGATAACTTAGACACAATGAATTAGGTGGTGTGTTGAGTTTGTAATTCCTTGTGTCGAAGCATTGTAGCTCGACGGAAAGAAGGATTAGTCAAATTAGCCTAATGTGATAGTGTGTCAAAGTATCGAAGCAGGTTGATTCACATAGGATTTCGACTTAGGCCTATTTTAGTAATGTTAGCTATTTTGGGATTTTATAGTTTTGGGCTTTGGCTTGGGGTGAAAGCAAACCTAAATCTATAAATAGGGAGAAACCCTTATTTTATAAACAACTCATCATATTTTTGTAATTCACATTTTGCAATTGCAAGTGAAATAACATAATTTCCACAGTTTATGGGCAGAGAGTTCTCTGCAGAATATTGTTCATCTTCTTATCCAAAGCTTTCTTTCTAATTTTTTTATTATTGTCATTACGTGGGTTGAAACAATCTTGAGATCAAGATTGATTGAGTGAAATTCTCCATAGATTGTGGTTGAATTTATAACATTATCAATATTACTCTCTTTTCCTTTTACGTAACATCCTCCCATCACCATTATTTCTTCCATTGAGTACGAAAGTTTACAGGTGAGAGACTCATTGAAGTTTATAAATTTTAAACCATTACAGAAAACTCATACAATCATATCTTGGTTAAGATTGACCACTTTTGTGGTGACTTTGTTGAGACGTATGCTTAATATTCACTTAAGAGCTCATGTGCCCATGCCTCGTGTTAAAAAGACTCGTGATGGAAACCTTATGATGTTTATTGTAGGAGAATTGGTGGATTAGTTTCATGGACATGTATTGGTAAATGGTAAAGGAGAATATGGTAAGATCCATATACCAATGCAATATTGTCTTCTTTAAGGTATCAGAAAGGAACTTGCATCTGAGTGAGTCTGAATCGGAAATGATTTACATCTACGTGTTAAAGGTATTAACGTGTTATTGAGGGTCCTTTTTCACATCAAACGTCATTAGAGGGGGTAACTTTGAAATTATTGGGATTGTGGTGTCCCAAATACCAACTTTGGAGGGGCGAGGGTTTTCAATCTCTACCCCCTTCTAGTATTTATCGCCTTGTTGTTGTTATTGTTGATAGGTTGTCTCAACAATTACTTGCAGGGTTTTGTTACAATAATATAACTCATCCACAATAATATGCATCTCCACTACGACTTCATGATCTCTAGTGGATTATGAAATGGATGTCGTCGCCATTGTTAAACGTCATATGATTGAACAAAGCTTTTGTTGATAAGGTGTGACCGATGAATGTGTGCATTCGGGTCCTATGGTGGACACCAACTGTACTTGTGGCAAATACAATAGTAATGATTCTACTTACGATATACCAAGCAAGAGATCTTTAATCAGTGATTGTGAATGTGATGATTTTACCTGACCACAAAGATAGGTAATATCTAGCTTTTTAGACCTCGTGAAATGGGATAAGCCTTAAGGCTACCTCCTTGGATTTTGTCAGTCTGACGTCACTCCATCAGATATTTTGGCAGGTGAGCTCTTTCTAATGATATCTTGTGACATGACATTGATAGGTAAATTAACAAGTATACTAATATAGTAATATCAGAAAATTTCAGAATGTCGATCTCAAGGACTATGTGATATTATGAGGTTCGTATTTTAATTCTGTTGTACAAAAGGTATTTGGGGTGTTTGATATTGGTTGTTTGCAAAAGGTAAAATTAAAATAAATTTATTAGAGTAGAAAATAATATGAGAAAAACATGCTAGGGGATGAGAGTTTGATATTGAATTCGTTTGTATCCTAAATCGATGTTGTAACAACTAAGTTTAACTTATACAAATTACTGGTTCATAAGATTATATATTCCTAATTCCTTAGAGAATAAACCTTTTGGTATTCAAATCAATCCCTATGGCTATTAGTAAATTGTAAATGAAACAAAGCACGTACTTATCAAGAACAAAACAATTTTTAGATGGTATCCCTAGTCCTAGGTGATATTTAATCTAAAATATTTCATTCTACCCTTACATGTTAAAAACCCTTTCTAGTAGGTAACCACCCGTAAATAAATTCTCAATTTGTAAAATAGAGGAAAACATTAAGCAAAGAAAGAATAAACTCATAACATAATAAAACAATAATCATTACAAATCTCAATTCAAAATTACAAGTTTCATCGTGACTCATCTATAGTACTAGGGAGTTCAACTAATCATAATCCTAACAAAATAAATTGAACGAATTGTAAATGTTACACACAAGTTTATATAAGAAAGCTTCAACACAGAAATTCATTTAAATATGCTTCCCGCTACTCCTTACGTGCTTGCTCTACTCTAAGGTGTTTTTTTCGCCGTCAAAAACCAAAATTTTTTAGAAAATTTGGTTTCCTTCATTTAAATACGAATTTGGGTAATTTGAAAATTTTGCCTCTGACATACGCATTTGAAAACGCGTCTAGATATAGTCTTTGACTTCTTCATGAAAGTTGTAACTCTTGATGTTAGCTTTTATTTACCGCTGATCGAATGCCAATTAGAGTTACGAAGCTCTAGATATGATCAAAATACTACACATACATTATGATGTAAAATATTCTGAAAAATAGAATTTGTGAATTGTTTTGAAAATTCGTTGCGTTTCTTTTTTGGTCATTTCTTTGACTTCCTCCCCATCTACAAAAATCGTTGAACATTTTCCAAAACATCATATTATTAATAACATATACTTGAGTTCTTTTAAATCTCATTTGTTAATAAACTTGTAACACTTACTAAATTTATTACTCAAAGACACTAAAAGGTTAACAAATTCAAAAGAATGAACATAATAAAATAGTGACTAATCAACCATCTCACCAACCTCCGAGCACATGATTTATATTGTATCATTTAAAAAGAAAATACTTATTTCTGTGGTGCATTAAATACACATATTATTTTAATTTTTTAAAAAATATTTAATTTTTTAAAAAATATTTAATTTTTTAAAAAATATTTAATTTTTTTATTTAATCTCTTAACCAGTTTTTAAGAGGTATTGTTACTATTTCCCTAAATAAAAAAGTCAACTTTCAAACTCTTTTATAGTAAATCCCAATTTCAATGAAATAATCACTAATTGAAAGATGGGTTTGTTTGAAGCTATATAAGTTCCTTGGTAAACTTAAAGGGCATGTGCACTCATGAATTTGTGACCTCACAATTCAAAACTAATGAAAATCACAACACAATTCAGAAAAGTTGCAATTCTTTCTAAATGAACAAGCAATGCAACGCACCAGTGAGCTAAGGTAAACCAGACAAATCGCAACTGGCGCCGAGCAATCAAAAAGTAGTCGAACCTTCATATTACACATTTTTTTCGCAGCTAAAATCCAAACAGCGATAAACCCCTCTCATGAAATGCCACCAAAACCTTTCAACTTTCCCGCCAAACGCACAACCGCTATTTTCCTTCTAACCACAACTGCGGCCGCCGCATTTACTGTCAACTCCGACGAGCCCTCCCCTCTCGCCGCCGACAAAATCAGAGCCCAAATTCATGGCATCATCCGCACCGCTCGCGCCGTCTCCACTGTATAAATTATTTCCATTTTCTTATCTCTTATCGCAGTGATGTTTCCCTCCTTTAACTCAGAACACTGTTCGATTTCGCTTCTTCCTCTTTCAATTTTCAATGTTACAGGTTGTTTCCACTGTCGTTGACTACGAATTCTCGCTCCGCGGCCTCCCAAAGCACTCAGATCAGTATCGTAAAACGAGTTCCCAGGTTTCCACCATCTCTTACATCGTTTTCACAGTTTCAATATGTGGAATCGACTCGGATTAGTTTCGATTTTCCGCTGAGATGTTGATTTTTTTGGTGATTAGGTTCATCTACGTTCTGCGGAGAGGTTTCTCAAGTTATGCGAAGCCAACAAAGGGTTTTACGTGAAAGCTGGACAGTTCATTGCTTCGCAAAAAGTGCTTCCCAGGGAGTACTCTTCTACTTTGTCTTCGTTACAGGACCAGGTGTGGTGTGGCTCCCAATGTATCTATTCAATTTCAGTTTTCTTATTGTTTTTGGTTCGTTATCTTGCTAACCGGAGCATCTTGATGATTTAGGTTGCTCCTCTTCCTTTTAAAATCATTGAGAAAGTGCTAAAGGAGAATCTCGGACCTGACTTCTCTGAGAAGTAAGTTGCACTCACTATTTGAATACTGATTTTATGAATCTTGTATCTTTCATTGTAATATTATTAGAGCTTATTTGTCTATAGGCTTTATCTACAATTAGAAAAGAATGCGAGTAAGCTCCACAAAGGCTCATTATAAGCCATAACAATAACATGAAAACAACATATGAACATATCATAAAGCTATTGTCATAAAGTAGTCTGGAATAAGCTCTTTCAAATGACAATAAAGACTTAGTTTTAAATTTATTTTTGAGCCACCACACGGTCCACACCTCTTAAATCACCATGGTCACTTAGTCTTTTTCCTAGAAGTTAACAATTTTGACTTTGACAGGTCTTCTTTTTTACGTTACTATTTGTAGTTTGTGAACTCCATTATCTCAGGTTTTTGTCCATTGATGAACGACCTATAGGCGCTGCATCTATTGCTCAAGTCCACCATGCTGTACTAAAAAGTGGGCAAGAAGTAGCAATCAAGGTTTGTGTACGAGTGTCAAGACTTTACAGAATTTCTGATGTCTATCATTATGTCTTATTTGAAATGTTTTTATCCTATTCTTGATAAGTTTAGTAATATGGTTTATTTATTCTATCTCCAATAGAACCACATTAATGTGCATCACAATATCAAAATAAGAATAGCTATTTGAGTCTAAACTTGGATATAAGAATAATTGATGGGTATAAATGATTTACAGGGTTCAGGGTTACCAGTACTGTCTTGTTATGGGTTGGGTTTGAATTATGACGATGTTATAGACTTATCGCCATTCCTGCAGTTAGTGGAATTTATTATTTCTGATAATGATGATAAGTAGAATATTTTTCTGTTTTGCCGATTTTGTGGAGTTCGAGTAGAGCATAGTATCTCACATGGATGCAAAATGCTAAAAAAAAATGTACTTCTGTCATTATCAGGTAAGTTAATAATTCTTTCATTTCCTCCCATGCGATGCTTAACATACTTTGAATTGAGGTAAGCAATATTTGGAAAACCACTTTAATTGTAAAATCACTTTCTTTCTTGGAAACTAGGTGCAATATCCTTGGATAGAGCAGCAGATGCATTTTGATACAAGAACAATGTATTTCCTATCAAAAACTATTGCATGGGTATGCTTTGACTCTTAACTCTTATTTTATGAAAGATATTAAAGAATTTATGTTTTAATTATTTATTGTACATAGAGCTTCATAAGCATTTTGAATGTTGGATGTAATATTGGTTGTTGATAGCAAAAAGGATGAGAGTAAATGCACATGATTTAGGAACTAAAAGTAAATTGATTAATGTAACACTGCCTAAGAGCCAAGTTATCTGTAAGATTAATGTTCCAAAGACCTTTAGTTTTGTTGGAAAAAAAATTATTTCAATATTTTATAATCAAGTTCAAGAATAATATTTATTTCAATATTTTATCTGTAAAATTAATATTTGTTTATTTTATAATCAAGTGCAAGAATAAATTTAAATAATTATTTCAATATTTTATGTTAATTAATTAATTAAACTAGTTCATAAAATTTTACATTCTTTGGTTTCTGCTGTTTCTTTGTATTAAAACTCCTTCCTTTGGCTGCAGCTATACCCTCAATACAGGTTTGAGTGGCTACCATTAACATTTGCCAAGACTGTCTCTTCAGAACTTGGTTAGCAACAAAGCTTCGTGATTATAGCTGGCCGCTACTCCCTATCTGAAATGCATTCTATAGCTCCGCTATCACATTTTTCTGTTTGTTTCGCATTAGTGCTTATTGTTTGATTAGCTGTGAATCTGCAACCTTATTGTCTCCTAGAAAATTGTGCTATTTGTTCATGTTCCATCCATGTTGAATGCAATTAGATAAGCAGTCTAAAATTAATTAACCAACTAAACATATTCAGTTTTTTTTCTCTGCTTTAGTAAATATGATTTTAGCATTTAAAGTTAGAGATGAATGAATGAGTGAGCTGTATTACCCACAGATTTTGTTCAGGAGGCAAGGAATTCTGAGAAAGCTGCCAAAAATTTCAGAAACAACAAAATTGTCAAAATTCCTCATGTATTCTGGGTATGATAACTGAGTGCAATTTTATTCCTCCTATTGACTATCCACATACTACGCCTGTTAGATTATGTTATTGGGCTTCTATTATAAATTTATAACTAGGCTAAAGGTTGTTTAGTCTTTTTATGCTTGACTATATATTCTCTTTATAATTCTTGTATTCACAAATTGTCATTATAGTTGAAACTCTAGGTTCTTTCCTCTTCCCCTCTTTCTATATGAATCTCTATTAGGATCTTTCTGAGAAATTTATATGATCCTTTCAAATATTCAACTATATTATTTCTTTACCAAAATACCTCTAATTTTTACATTAACAAATAATTAAGCCATAAATACTAGAAGAAACTTGGAAATATAGTATCAATTGTTACCAAATTTAATAGGTTTATATCTGTAATTGGTCCCTGCAAATATACCACTTTTTGGTTCTAGTCGTATAATTTTTGTTTAGTTTTGGTCAATTAAATATTTTTTTTCTTCTTTTGGTCGTTGTTCTTTTGTTTTATTTCTTGCAAAATTGGTTTATATTGGAATTGGTCCATGTAATATGTCGAGCATTTGATTTTAGTCCTGGACTAAAATCAAATATTTTACATAACATAGTGATCAATTTCAATATACACTAATTTTGCAAGGACTAAAACAACAATAACCATAAGCGAAATAATTTTTTCTTGATAGACCAAAACCAAATAAACTAAAAATTACAGGATTAAAATAAAAAGTGTTATATTTGCGAGTACCAATTACATATTTAAACCAATTTAATACTACTTAGTTTATTAATATTTATTATACTACTTACCAACTTCACATTATACTGATGCATGCAGGAATTGACAACAAGGCAAGTCCTAACAATGGAGTTTTATATAGGACACAAGGTATGATGGGCCTATAATGTCAGTAGATGATTGTTTATGGAAAAGAATTCATTATAGTAGTTCTAAGAAAGGACTTCTACTGTATCTGCAGCCACTCTAATACTTCTAAATTTTGTATGGTAAATTGTTCAGCTTGAGACACCAGGGTTATTTAGTCTTCCTTATGCTCTTGCCAATTCAATCTATTACCATATATACTTTAGACTGTCCCCATTTGGTTAGACAACATATAAGCGAAAAAATTGTCATGATCCTAAGGTGAATCTTTTGTTCATCTTATGTGAAACATAAAGTTATAATTCAGTTCTATCCAATTTTTGTAACATATTATGTTGATGTTCAAAGGGGAGCTTTGGTGCAACAGTTGGAGTTGTTGCCATGTGAATAGGTCACCAGTTTGAGTCAATAATTTGTATAAGATGATATTGAAATGATGAATTTGTATAACATTGTGAAATACTTAAGTACTAAAATGAATATTTAAAAGATAAATGACCAAAATGAACTTTAAGTAAAAGATAAAGGAACAAAAGTATATTCTAGTCTTTATTTTATACGTGAAGATTGCAAAGATAATAAATGCTAAACGCAATTTAAAGAGAGTAATTAAGCTATAACTATTCTCTAAGATGCATTGAACCAATTTCACTTACTATACAAAAAGTGTATACTACTTCAAAAGTGGAACAGTAACGTGGCTCTATTTCCAACATTATATTTTATATATAATCATATATTACACACAAATTACCTAGTGGGATAAGGCTTGGTTGTTGTTGTATATTGTACACATTACCTAGTGTGTTTGCATGCATGTGCGTGTGTTCTACGAAGAAGGATCATCATGAATTCATGATATGTATGATAATTTTTTTCCCTTTGGAGTAAAAAATAATGACGGACAGAAACAAAAATGTGTATTTTGAGATCTGGATATAGTATATTGCAATGTAAACTTGACCGTATATTGAGATAAACGGGCTTATCTTCTGAAATATCAGAAGATTGACTCATTCTGATTGTAGTAGGGATTTTTTATTCTGGTAAGTAGAACCAAAACTCTATTATTGAAGTCCTATAGTATTCTGCTCAGATTGTGCAAACTTGTGCATATCCCAGTAAAATATTCATGTAGTATATGAGCATGAAAGTCAGTTTCATATGATCCATTTCATATTATGTTACTCCATTTTGCTGGTAGCAATGTTGCTATTCAAGCTGTGCTTTGCTTTAGGTTTCTGTATATTACATTATGTTACATTCTATTAATAGGATGCTTACTAAATTTCAGATTGATGACTTGGATTTTCTGAGTGAGAATGGGGTTGATCCAGAAAAGGTTAACTTGTCACAGCTTATGTGAACTCACGGAAACTGTATTTTTACGTTCTTTAGCAATTGGTTTATGATTAGTGAACTGTATTTTTCTCAGTTTGTCATAATCTTGTCGTGCTAACTTCTAAACTGATGGATTGGATTCTAAACCTGTTACTGAAGGTAGCAAAATCACTGATTGAGCTGTTCGCTGAAATGATATTTGTGCATGGTTACATACATGGTGATCCACATCCTGGTAATATATTAGTTTCTCCTGAAGGCCGTAATGGTTTTTCCCTGGGTACGTACTTGTTTATTTGAGATCAGTTTTTCTCTAATTGGACTCTAATTGAAACTTAGAAGTGCGGAAGAATTGAACTTTGACCCACCCCTGACCCCTTTGGAATCATTTTGCAGTTCTTCTAGATCATGCAGTTTACAGGGAATTGGATGAAGAATTTAGAAAAGACTTTTGCCAGTTATGGGAAGCTTTGGCTCTCAAGGACTCAAAGAAAACAATGTGGCTTGGCGAGCGATTTGGTGCTGGGAAGTATTCTCGATACTTGCCTATCATTTTCACCGGAACAACTATAGAAAGGTTCCTCCATAACCTATTGTTTGTTGATTACATATAATGATTCTAATTTACATTTTGAGGAAATTTCATTTTGGAGATTAGTTCTTAATTGTGATTTTCATGTGTTGGTGGATGACAATTCCAACTGTATAGCACAAACCACTAAAATTGGTTTTCAGAACCAGGTTGCATGGCCTGATTCAAACCTTACGGCTATTCGCAATCTGCGAGCTCAGAATCGCACAATTTGAAGCTCATCTGATACACGTGTGATTGGTTGGAGCAGAATTCTTGATCATATTTGTTGTGGTACATGCTTAAATGTTTCACCTCTCTTTGATTCTCATCCTATGATTTATTGCTGGAAACTCCTTGACAGATACAGAGAGATGAAAAAAGTTGTTGTGTTGATGAGCTTGTTATGTTTTTGCTGTCTTTTGTTTCCATGCTGTTCTTTTTGGAACGAGATCTCGTTCTCTTTTGTGAGGTTTGCTCCTAATAATTTTTTAGCTTACAAAATTATGATGTAACTTTTTTCGTGAGTTGCAGCAAATATTCTTCTGGAATGTCAATCAAGGAAAAAGAGACTATGAAGCACGAATTGAAATCTCTGATGTTTGAGGACCTATCTTTGTTCATGGAGTCTATGCCACCAGATTTTATTGCTATATTGCGTGTAGAGTAAGAAACAGTGTTCATGCTTGTTCTATTGGATGCTAAAATTTCTGTTACTTCATGTCCCTAACATACCTTCTTCATTCTAGTGCACTGCTAAGGTCTACCATTAGAAAGATGGATGTCTCACGGCTCATCAGATTGCTAACTTACACCAAATATGCAGTATATGGACGTCTCCATCCAAAATTTGATAGTGAATTGTGTAAAATGTCAGAAACGAATGTTTGTAAGTTACCTTGTAATTTCTTAAGTCTACATGAAAGATTGCCTCGATTGTCGAGGCCTTGCAGAATGAGTTTTGCATCTTATCTTTCTTTTTGTGTTTCCAGATTTTGCTGTGAAAGCTGTTTTCTTAAATTTCATATCAACGTTAAAATATTTTCACATCCTAATCAAGATCCTTATTGGTGAGAACTCTTTACTCATAATTTGATCTATAAATATCACCTCAAGGTTGAACTAACGACTGTCTTTTTTCTTCCTTTATCAGGGGCCATCGACAGTACCCGTTGGCAACAAAAAATGAAGAATGTACATAATTACTTGTATTGCAAGATTGGTAGTAATGAGCTATGGAGCATTCTAGTCCATTCTGTCTTTCTTCTTTTGTGTATGCGTCCAGCGTCCTAATGCTCTGTTCTGAACATTGAATTCTGTATAGCTTTGTTTTGAACATTGAATTCTAATGGTATACAAGCTCCATCCTAATTCCTGGTGCAGTTTGCCAAAAAAAAAGAAAAAGAAAACAGGGTTCCATCTTTGGATGCATTCCAAAGCAACTTTATATTACCTTTAGAATCACACATTTTCTGTCAAATGTCACAGAGTAAATTAAGTTATCGAATTAAAATGTCAAATTCGCACTGTCAAATGATACAAGTTACATATTTTGTATGCCAAAGTCACACTGAAGCTTATAATTTATAATTTAACTTTATAGTGCCTTATAAACAATTTATTCAGATTTATCTACTAGCATGCGCAATCATGAGTATTTAGAAGAGCTTAAAAATGATTTATAATATGTTTGTCAATTATCTTCAGCTTATTTCAATAAGCTCTTCCCCAAAATAGACACAAATAATTTAACTAGATTTTTTTTTTTATTACTTACAGTTGCTTATATTAACGTATCTATATATAAGTACTGATTTTAATTATATTTAGTTAAGTTATTTATCTGTATGTAATTCAGTTTGAGAGTGATTCTATTATGTCATCCCTTTTTAAATTTTTATTTTGGTGAAGGCCTACATAGCAATTGAAATTGTTATATTATAATATACATCTTTTATTTTTTTTTATAAGTAAATTTTAATTTTTTAAATTTATTGAATAATTAATGTATCTAATTTATATATTGTCTAAATATATTATTTATTAAATAAATCTAAAAAATCAAAATTTAGAATGGAGAAAGTAACTTTCATTAACGGTACTTAAACTTTAACCATTTGTTTAAGGGGTTGCACAATCCATCTTTCGTATTTAATTTTGTTTGAATATTTTCAATATTCATTTCTTCGATTTTTTTTGCATTTCACCACATTTTGCATTTAAAGAAAATATAATTTGTCTTGTCTGTTGATTTTTAGAATCATTTCACTTTTCATATTTTTAGTACAAATTAAACATCACACTTTGCTTTCATCACATGCATTATCATATGCATTTTTGAAAGTGCAAAATAAAATTATAAAAAGAAATTTCATTTTTATCACCATACATCATCATGTTCATCACCTCAATCTTGAATTGTAGCATGGCATTACAACACCATATAATTATCACCATGATCATGTATTTTAGACCATCATCATCAAATAAAACTGGAAAAAAAAAACAAGGAAAATATGAACACCATCAACACCATTACTATTAAAAATTCAAGCAAATTAAAAGTAAAAAGTTGTAACAAAAGTGATTTTGAAATAAAGTTGAATCTCATTTTCATTCATTGTATTTCATGCCACGGTATACATCATTGTTTTCCTTCACAATTCAAATCGAAATATGCCAATTTAAATGAAACAAAAAACAAATATTGAATCAATTAAGTTTGAATCACATGATCCTTTCATCATTGTGAATCACACGGTTCACACACATTATACAAAATAATTATAAAAAAAAACAAATTAGCAAAATTAACCAAGTAATGCTAACAGTAAGTGAATTAACTTTGAATTTCAATTTCATTTGAATTACAACTTAGAGGTTTGTTACAAGAAAGAGAAAGAGGTGCACATGATTGTAACCTTCACATGGACTACCCTTCAATCACCCCCACAAAATAGTAAAAATATCTCATCTTTCCCTCTCAATTACAGCTTGCAACAAACTCACATTCTTCACCTCAAAACTTCACACGATTGTGTAACTAACTCTCACAAATATCTTTATCACTTTACACACCTCCTATCCTCACACTCCTCACCCTAACCAACCTCACTCATATCCTTGAAAATATCTCACCAAATTCACACGAAACTCTCACTTTCCTTCAATTCTTCATACGCTCATCATTCACACACATGCTTACACAATTAACCTAATTTACACCTTGAGCATGTAAATTGTGGATGCCCAACTTGTTTAGAAAGTAATCAAATTGTTGTTTTCCCAATGCTTTAGTAAATATATCAGCAAGTTGAATATTTGTGGACACATGGAGAGTTGAAATGTTGCCGTTGAGGAGTTCATTGCGTAAAAAATGACAGTCAACTTCGATGTTTTTTGTGCGCTCATGGAAAACTGGATTGACAGCTATATGCAATGCCGACTGACTATCACAATGTATCTTCATGGGGCGAGATTGAGAGATGCCAAAGGAGAGTAAAAGTGCTTTCAACCATTTGAGTTCACATGTCGTAGTAGCCATGGAACAATACTCTGCCTCAGCAGACGAACGAGAGACAACCTGTTGCTTTTTGGTTTTCCAAGAGATAGGCGAGTTCCCAAGAAAAACTATCCATCCAGTAAGAGAACACCTTGTCAAAGGGCAACCTGCCCAATCCGAGTCACACTGTAACGCCCATTTTTCGATTAAATTTAGTTATGACTTTACCGTATTTCGTCGCGTTGTATTAGTATTTGAAAATGTGTTTGTTTCGAATAAAGGAATTGAATCGGTCGAATTTCAGGCAAAAGTGCAGAAACCCGTAGCAGTTTTAGGGAAAACTTCGAAAAATCATATCTCTCGATCCGTAAGTCGGTTTTAGTCCCCGTTCGAAGCGTTGGAAAACTTAAGAAATGTTCTGTCTAAGAAAAATGAAATTTTGCTGATGTGACGGTCGTCACGGTCGTGACGCTCGTCAGGAACTTGTTACGATCGTCATAGTAATAAAATCCAGAGAATTGGAACGTGGGGAATTTTAGTACGGTTATTCCACATTTCACTTATTCTCATTTTGTCGGTTTTTGGAAGAGAAAAAAATAACTAAAAAGAAAGTATCGTAGTTGAGAGAAGGGGAGAACGGAAGAATCGTCGATCGGTGAAAATTGGAAGAGAATTGCAGGAGAGTTACCGTAAACCAGAACCGGAACCGGAAGCGTGGAATTGGCCTCTATTCTAAGGTAAGGGTGGGGTTCAATTCTATAACCGTGGGTATGATCGATTTCATGTAGGGAATTGATTCATAGGTATAATTTCCGTTAATCGATAAATGTTAGGGACGAGGTTTTTCTATGTAGGAATGAATGTGTTATATCGTTAGCAGTACGATGCTCTAAGGTTTCCCTAATGGGGCAAATATGTAGGAATGAATGTGTTATATCGTTAGTAGTACGATGCTCTAAGGTTTCCCTAATGGGGCAAATATGTAGAAATGAATGCGTTATATCGTTAGTAGTACGATGCTCTAAGGTTTCCCTAACGGGGCAAAAGGGTAGTTGTCCTAATTGTTTCGTAATTAAACCTTGATAGAGATTTGTAATTAATTATGTGAATAGGAGCAGATATGTTGTCATTACGATCGTATGTTGAATTCTTAATTGTTGATTTAAGGCTGTTATTGCTCTCATACGTGAACAGATGGAAAATGATAATGTCTTGAGTTGTATGAGAATGATGCTCTGTTATGGACAGTTTGGTTGTAAGCATAAAGCTTTATTGTATGGCCGTTACGGTTGTGTTGTAGTCCATAATAGGTGCATTTAATGACATATCATCTTGGTTGGCCTGAATTGGCGTTATTTGGAGTGTTGGCTCCTGAATGGGTTTTGGAGTGTTGGCTCCTATCCCGAGTTTTGGAGTGTTGGCTCCTGAATGGGTTTTGGGGTGTTGGCTCCTATCCCGAGTTTTGGGGTGTTGGCTCCTAAATGGTACCACATGCATATGCACAGTTGAGTTGCATTGCTGAGTCGCATAAAGCTGCATAATTATGTTGGTCGTCGGTTGTTGTGACATACGTGAGTATGAATTTGCTTGCAAACGATTGTCGTTGATGTTTATAAGTTTGCGAAGATTATATTGATGTGATATGAATTCTAATATGACATCTATCATGCCTTATGTTATGTTGTTGATATCTCACCCCTTTACGTTGTATGTTACCGCCATTGGTGGTAATTCGGAGGTAGCCCGGAATGAAGTTCCATTTTGTCGTTTAAGGTGTCGTTGGTCGCTCTGATACGTAGCACTCTCGGGGGGATGAACGTTTGCCGTTATTATTTTAGTTGATGTTTTGCTGCTGCACTTGTTATGGCATTTTCATTAAATTTTTTTAATTGAACGTGTTGTAAGCTTTACTACAATTCCGTCGAAATAAGAATTGGTTGCATTATGAGTTAAATGTTAAGCAACGTTGTTGTCTGTTCATCCAATTTCGTGTTACGCATGTTATTTGAAATGTGGCTGCATAAATGCATGTTGTCTGTTCAGTTGAATGTAACATATCTGATATGAAGAATTCTGGGCGTGTGACGACCGTCACACCTTCATTACGATCGTCATGCGTGCAATTTTTACGCTGTTGCACTCTGTTTGTTATATGAGTTGTTGTTTTTCCTGTTATCCGCAAGTGTTAGAGTTGGGGTGTTACATTAGTGGTATCAAAGCAGGTCGGTCCGTCCGGCCAAGTTGTCTAGTGTCGTCGAGTCAGTCGTCGTGCCTAGCACGAGAGTCCCGTTATTTGCGAAATTTGACCATTGGTTGTTGCAGTTTAAGTGAAATGGCTGGAAGGAATGATGTTGCAATTGCTGCCGCGCTGCAAGCTCTAGATAATGCTATGGAACATCAACCGAATCCTGCTGGAGATGCTGGGTCTCGCAGTTTGGCAACTTTTCAACGAGAGAATCCGCCTACCTTCAAGGGTAAGCATGATCCTGATGGTGCGTTGGAGTGGTTGAAGGAGATGGAGCGAATCTTTCGTGTGATGAATTGTACTCCAGCGCAGAAGGTTCGTTATGGGGCTCATATGCTAGCAGTCGAAGCTGATGACTGGTGGCTAGAGACCCGTCCGGTGTTGGAAGCTGCGGGTGAGGAGATTACTTGGACTGTATTCCGTAGGGAATTTCTGAAGAAGTATTACCCGGAAGACGTCCGTGGTAAGAAAGAGATTAGATTTCTTGAACTGAAGCAAGGAGACAAATCTGTTACTGAATATGCGACGAAGTTCAAGGAGTTGGCT